ACAGTCCTCTCCAGCGGGCAGCAATTATCCAAGCTGGATGTTTTAGACACTTTGCATAGATTATTTCACTTCATCCCCAAACAACCCAAAGAGATAGCTGTCTTTATTACTCTCATTTTACAGACAAGGAACCTGAACAAAACGAGGCTAGGTCGTCTGCTCAAGGTAACAAGCCACTGAGGATTTGAACCACAGCAATCTGGAGTTCAAACCAGTGGGCAATGATCTAAAAGCTGCCCTGGGTAATGGGAAGGGACTGCAGAGTTGGACAAGGCACAGCTTCTACTCCAGAGGTTACTTCAGAGGAGGAGTGGCATCTATTTCTCCACTTGGATCTTCAGAGAAGAGCTCAGTTTGAGCTAAGGCAAAGAAGAAGCAGGAATGTTCTCCAAGGAGGATGTAGCAGGGTTACCATTTTGCATGGTTCCAGGCTACCATTTTGCAGGGCTCCAGGCTGCACGGTGAATGGTTTGGGAGGGAAGGGAACCATGAGCACTGTTCAACCAGGGGGGAGTCTCAGGGATCAAAACATATGAGCCTATGGCTTGTGATTGTCCTCAGTTGTCTTGTTGGCCATGGTTCTTTCTTTCAGCAACAGGCACACAGGGTGAAGTGTTAGTCGCTCGGTCATGCCTGACTCTTGGCGACTCCATGGACTGGAACCCACCAGGCTCCTCTGTCCATGTAATTTTCCAGGCAAGAATAATAGAGTGGGTTGCCATTCCCTTCTCCAGGGGATCTTCCTAACCCGGGGATTGAACCCATATTCCTGCATTGTAGCAGATTCTTTACTGTCTGAGCCAGAGGGAAGCAAACATCAGTTATCCAAACATGCATTTGGCATTGCTGATAAGTGCTTTTCCCAAGATGAAAAGCAACTTTGTCAATGAAGACAAAGGAATCTGATTATTGAAAGTTACAAATAATAAGTATTTGTCAAATTGGCAAAAAGGGATGCACTTTGCTGAAATAAAATAAGCAAACCATTTTTCTTTTTTTGGTCATGCCACGAAGCATGTGGGAACTAGTTCCCTGATCAGTGATGGAACCTGGGCCCCCTACATTGGGAGCTCAGAGTCTTAACCACTGGAACCAAAGTTTAAATCCTTTTGAAAAGCAAACACTGCTGCATTTTTACTGCATAGTCACTGTGTAGCACTACTGTTTTTTCTCTGTAGCACTCCTGATTTCTACCACTGGCTCAGCACTCTAATTTTTATCTTGAATTAGTGAACTGTGCTTGACATGTGTCTTGATTGAAATGTGGCTACACTGCCAAGATGGTAACCACACACAGTAACCCTTGACATGTGGCTAGTCTGAACACAGACGTGCTGTGAATATAAAATACACACCAGAATTTCTTTGAAGACTTGGTTCGAAAATCAGTGTAAAATATCTCATTAATATTTTGCAATTGATTTGTATGTTGAATGATAATAATTTGGATACTTTTGTATTAAGCAAAGTACAATATTAAAATTAGTTCTTCCTGTTTCTTTTTACCTTTTTTAAGTATGGCTACTAGAACACTTTATACGACGAGACTTGCGCATGAGGCCCACATTCTATTTCTATTGAGTTGTGTTGGTCTCTGCCCTCCCGTCTTTGAAACCAGATCTTCAGGCTTAGGAAGTTTTTGCCAGGGTTGTCGATGAATTTCCTCCGGGAAGAGGGCAAACTGAAAAGATGCTCCTTTCTGATTCTAGATTGTTCTTTCACTGGCATTGAAGTGCTGTGTACTCCATGTTCTTTAATTGCAAATGCGGGAAACAAAGAAAGAAAGAAACAAACAAACCCTAAACCACATCTGTCTGCCGTTATGGGAATCCGGAACCAGAACCATCTGACTGGATTTGCTGAGGCCTCTTTTGAAGTGCCGTCGAGGAATGGGCCTTGAGTTTCCTATTCTCACTTCCTCCCATCAGTCGTCTCAGTTTATTTCCAGACAATCTTTTTCTCCCATCCCTCCTCTGCTGCCTTTAAAAAATATGTAAACTGCTTTACTTTCTTTTTGTGTCCTTGTGTCTGTGCAATTAGCATCTGGTTTCAAATTCTGCTCCTTCATCTCTTAGCTGGCTGACCGCGGGCAAGCTGTTGAATCTCCCTAAGATTCAACCTCTTCATTTTAAAAATGGGGATAATAACAGTTCTGACTTTAGAGCTTTGTAGCAAGGACTAAATGAACTAATACCCAGGAGATGCTTAGAACGGGGGCTGGCCTGTGACGACGGCTCAATGAGTGTCAGCTATTTTTAGAATCCTTTCCTTCTTAGTATTTCAGCTTTAATCTGCTCAGTTCTTCACCCAAGCAGTTAAATTTGAGGAAATGAAATACAAAGATGTCCATGTGACTCTCTGATCCTGTGACAGATAAGCCCTGGGTCGTCTTCTGTGATGGAAGCTAAATATTTTGTCTTCTGAGATGACAAGGTCACTTCGGGCACTGTGCCAACCACCCTGGGGAGATGGACCCGCCAGAAGCTCTAATTCAGAAGCTCTGTCCTAGGTGAGAAGGGGAGGGAGCTTATGCCTCCTGAGCTGGAGTCTTTAAGGTCTCAGATGAGAATTGCATGGATATTCCTGCAGATGCCTCTGGGAGTAGACATGGAAGACAGGAGCTCATCTGGGAGCCAGCCCTGGAGCCCTTGTGAAGAACAATACTCTGTGTAACTGTTTGTAAGCAAACTGTTTGTAAGCAAACAGTTTTATTAATTGCACTCCACGCTGTTTTGGTTTTCATTATCCTCCAGCCTTTAACAAAAAGGTGGAGACCAGTGGGGGAAGAAAGAGTGCTATGAGAAATTAAAGATGCATTTAAGAAGAGGAGAGGGTATCCCACTCACTAAATCACAGGATGGAAGTTGTATGTGTGTGTGTGTTTGGGACTGGGACTGGGGTGGGGGTGTGGTGGGGAGGGTATTGCTTGTGAGTTGGTTAGTTTGATTGGTTAGGGTGATCAGACCTGAACCCCAAAAGTCATACTTCAGGGGTTTTTTTGGACTTGTTTCCCCAGGAAGGGATCCTCAAATGCTCTTCTTTGGGGAGGGGAGGGGTAGGGTATATGCTGGCCACAGTAGCAGAAAAGGACTTAAGTTCTCACATTTCAGTAAACGGTTATTTACTTAAGTCTTTCTGTTTGCAGTAAGGCACCTCCCATTCTCTCTTCCCCTATCACATCCTTCCATCCCCACTCCTCACTTCCCTTCTAGGCCTGGGGTCCTCACATATGGAGCCCTGTGGCCCAGTGTTTCTCCAGAGTAATCTTTCTCTCAACCAGTACCAGGGGCTGCCTAGTATCAGCTCACTATGGGTAAGGGGAAGGGTGCAAAGTGGGAACTCCTTCCCACCAGGAAATTCTTGGTGGAAAGATAGAGGTTAATGACCATCGAAAGAAATCCACAGAGAACTGATGAATGGTTAGCAAATACTCACCAAGTTTAGGAAGCAATTGACAAAAAAAGCAATTAAATTAAACAAAAAACAATTAAAAGAAGCAATTAAAATTTGAGCACTGTCTGTCAAACATTATGCTAAGTACTTTATTATCTCATCAAATGCTCATCACAATTCTACAAGAAGGTTTTAGAAGTTCCACTGTAAAATGAAGAAATCAAAGCTTGGAGTTGCCAAGCAACCTGTAAAAACCAAGCCAAAGGGTTTTGACAGAGTTGGGAATCAAGGCTGGTCTCAGCGTAGCTGTGCGACCATTAGGCTATCTGCTTTTATTTGCATAGTGCTGCGGCTCCTGCTTAGTCGCTCAGTCGTGTCTGACTCTGTGCGCCCCCATGGACTGTAGCCTTCCAGGCTCCTCTGTCCATGGCATTACCCAGGCAAGAATACTGGAGTGGGTAGCTATTCCCTTCCCTAGGGATCTTGCCGACCCAGGGATCAACCAGGTCTCCCGCATTGCAGGCAGATTGTTTACCTCTGAGCCCTATTTGCATACTAAATAACTAGAATTAGCAATGGCAGCAGAAGGCCAGCCTGTAGGTGTTTGGTGATGGCAGGACTCCCGGTAGTTTTGAGTTGGGTGAGAGATGTGGCATTCTCTGGAGGCTCTCATGACCCAGATGAATGGCCTAGATGACCTGGGTCTGGCAGTGCCCTGTCTCAGGATCAGCCTACACTCACCAGCAGGGGCCAGGGAACCTGCCTACACCAGGCTCAGTCTTCCTCCAAGGAGAAAAAAATTCCAGCTGACAAAGCAACGCCACCTTTTGCAGCCTCATCTTGGAGGGAGAGCTTTTTGTTAAGGCTCTGTAAATCATTGTATCTCCCAGGTATTACTGATATAACATTAAAAATTTTAAATGACTGTATTATGGGAAATTTCTGTCCCTAGGGCACGATTTTGCTGTGAACCTAAAACTACCGTTTAAAAGTTTTATTGGGAATTTCCTGGTGATCCAGGGGCTGAGACAACGGAAGAGGCACACTCACTCACAATGTAAGGGGCTGGTGTCCCATCCTTGGTTTGGGAGCTGGACCCCACACGCGGCAACAAAAAATCCTGAGTGCTTATGCAGCCAAGTAAACATTAAAAAAAAATAAAAGTTTTCCTCTAGGATAATAAATAAGCTTATTCTCCGTGATGGCCTTCTCCACCTCCTCCTTCTTTCTTTAACCTTCCTACCAGCCTGTAAGAGCCTGGCACAGTCAGTGGGCAGCAAATTCAAGCGCTCAAAGCCCTCCGGGTGCGCTTGGCGGGTCCCCGCCAGCCGGCGAGTGTCTGGGGCAGATGGAAAGTTTCTTTTCTCAATTTCTCCCCTAATATCTAGCCGTCAGTTGGCGCTCAGGCACCACTTGCTGAATGAATGAAGGCGGGAAAGGGCGGTTCGGGGGACCCAGCAGCGGGGGTGGGTTGGGGAGAGAGAGAGAGAACGGAGAGAAAGATCGTGAGAAGGTCCCGGAGTGAAGGGAGGAGTGGCCGGCGGGCCGGCCAGGGGCGTCGGGAGGGCAGGAGCGAGGAGGCCAGGGACGCGCAGGGCGGCACTTACCCCAGGAAGGTGAGGAAGCGCGGGTCCGTGGCCAGGTTGGCGTCGATGGTGAAGGACAGGAACGCGGGACTCACCAGGTGCAGCGGCCGCTCGGTGGAGAACTCGAGCTCCGCGGTGTCGTCGGCCGGCGCGCCTGCGGCTGGGGCGCCCGGGGAGCAGGGACCCAGCGGCCCCAGGAGCAGCAGCAGCAGCGGCGGCGGCCGCAGCCCCGGCCTCCCGCGCGCGAGCATCCCCGGCTCACCTGGCCGCCCCTCCCGCCGGCCGCGCGCAGCCAGCGCCGGGACCTTGCGCACTTCCTCCCGCCGCGGGCGCGGCGTCCTCTCTTCGTCCTCCCCGGCTCCCTCCTCCCCTCACCCCTCCCACCGCGCCCGCCTCCCGGCTCACTCCCGCTTCCCGGCACGCTTTCCCCGCGGTGACTGTGTCACGTCCACTTACGAAATGACCCTCACCCCTTCGAAGGGTGCGGACTTGGCCCGGATCCAAGAGCCCGGGAGGCCCGGAGAGGCAGCTCCCGGGAGGAGCGTTGGGCTCCCCGGACCTGGCTCCCTGAAGCATGAAGTCAGCTAGCGAAAAAGCCAGCGGTTCCTCCTTCCAGGTCCTCCCGGCAGCGCCCACCGGGTCTTCTGACTTCAACTAAAGCCTCCAGTGAGCATACATCGCTTCACTCTCTTCTGGCTTTGGAACACTTGCCGGCCACTCCGTGTCCCACTCTTTGCCACCCCCATAGACTGGGGCCCGCCAGGAACCTCTGTCCTCTGTCCATGGGATTCTCCAGGCAAGAATAACTGTTGTGGGTTCGCATTCCCTTCTCCAGGGGATTTTCCCGACCCAGGGATCAAACCGGGGTCTCCTGAATTGTAGGCGGATTCTTTACCAACTGAGCCACTGAAAGTGAAAGTCGCTCAGTTGTGCCCGACTCTTTACAACCCCCATGGACTATACAGTCCATGGAATTCTCCAGGCCAGAATACTGGAGTGGGTAGCCTTTCCCTTCTTCAGGGAATCTTCCCGATCCAAGGATGGAACCCAGGTCTCCAGCATTGCAGGCGGACTCTTTACCAACTGAGCTATGAGGGAAGCCCTTAGAGCTTGCCAAGATCTGATTAACTGTGTATCCTCTGGCCGGAGTGCTGTTTCCCAGTCATCTTACTTTTGCCTGAAAAAAATCTGACCTTGGCATTAGCTAACCTACACCTGGAAAGAGATCAAAACTCCAAACATTTCTTATCAATTTCTCATGAAAATAGTATTTATCAGAGCATAAACCTATTCGGTGAGCCAACATCTGAAACTCAGGACGTAAAGCCATACAACATATTCAACACTGAAATCAGATTGATTATTTTCTTTGCAGCCAAAGATGGAGAAGCTCTATACAGTCAGCAAAAACAACACCTGGAACTGACTGTGGCTCAGATCATGAAATCCTTATTGGCAAATTCAGACTGAAATTGAAGAAAGTAGGGGAAACGACTAGACCATTCAGGTATAACCTAAATCACAGGTATAACCTAAATCAAATCTCTAAAGATTATACAGTGGAAGTGAGTAATTGATTTTAAGGGACTCGATCTGATAGAGAACCTGATGAACTATGGACTGAGGTTTGTGACATTGTACAAGACAGGGATCAAGACCTTCCCCAAGAAAAAGAAATGCAAAAAAGCAACATGGTTGTCTGAGGGGGGCTTACAAATAGCTGGGGAAAGAAGAGAAGCGAAAAGCAAAGGAGAAAAGGAAAGATATACCCATTTGAATGCAGAGTTCCGAAGAATAGCAAGGAGATATAAGAAAACCTTCCTCAGTGATCAGGGCAAACAGATAGAGGAAAACAATAGAATGGGAAAGACTAGAGATCTCTTCAAGAAAATTAGAGATATCAAAGGAACATTTCATGCAAAGATGGGCTCAATAAACAACAGAAATGGTATGACCTAACAGAAGCAGAAAATATTAAGAAGAGGTGGCAAGAATACACAGAAGAACTGTACAAAGAAGACCTTCATGACCCAGATAATCACGATGGTGTGATTACTCACCTAGAGCCAGACATCCTGGAATGTGGTCAAGTAGGCCTTACGAAGCACCACAACAAAGCTAGTGGAGGTGATGGGATTCCAGTTGAGCTATTTCAAATCCTGAAAGATGATGCTGTGAAAGGGCTGCACTCAATATGCCAGCAAATTTGGAAAACTCAGCAGTGGCCACAGGACTGGAAAAGGTCAGTTTTCATTCCAATCCCAAAGAAAGACAATGCTCAAAGAATGCTCAAACTACCGCACAATTGCACTCATCTCACAGCTAGCAAAGTGATGCTCAAAATCCTTCAAGCTAGACTCCAACAGTATATAAGCCAAGAACTTCCAGATGTAAAGCGGGATTTAGAAAAGGCAGAGGAACCAGAGATCAAATTGCCAACATCCAATGGATCATCGAAAAAGCAAGAGAGTTCCAAAAATCTTCTATTTCTGCTTTATTGACTATGCCAAAGACTTTGACTGTGTGGATCACAATAAACTGTGGAAAATTCTGAAAGAGATGGGAATACCAGACCACCTGACCTGCCTCTTGAGAAAGCCGTATGCAGGTCAGGAAGCAACAGTTAGAACTGGACATGGAACAACAGATTGGTTCCAAATAGGAAAAGGAGTACGTCAAGGCTATATATTGTCACCCTGCTTATTTAACTTATATGCAGAGTACATCATGAGAAATGCTGGGCTGGAGGAAGCACAAGCTGGAATCAAGATAGCCAGGAGAAATATCAATAACCTCAGATATGCAGATGACACCACCCTTATGGCAGAAAGTGAAGAACTAAAGAGCCTCTTGATGAAAGTGAAAGAGGAGAGTGAAAAAGTTTGCTTAAAGCTCAACATTCAGAAAACTGAGATCATGGCATCTGGTCCCATCACTTCATGGCAAATAGATGGGGAAACAGTGGAAACAGTGGCAGACTTTGTTTTTTGGGGCTCCAAAATCACTGCAGATGGTGACGGCAGCCATGAAATTAAAAGACGCATACTCCTTAGAAGGAAAGTTATGACCAACCTAGACACCATATTAAAAAGCAAAGACATTACTTTGCCAACAAAGGTCCATCTAGTCATCTATGGTTTTTCCAGTAGTCATGTATGGATGTGAGAGTTGGACTATAAAGAAAGCTGAACACCAAAGAATTGATGCTTTTGAACTGTGGTGTTGGTGAAGACTCTTGAGAGTCCCTTGGACTGCAAGGAAATCCAACCAGTCCATCCTAAAGGAAATCAGTCCTGAATGTTCATTGGAAGGACAGATACTGAAGCTGAAACTCCATTATTTTGGCCATCTGATGCGAAGAACTGACTCACTGGAAAAGACCCTGATGCTGGGAAAGACTGAAAGTGGGAGAATAAGGGGATGATAGAGGATGAGATGGTTGGATGGCCTCACCAACTCAATGGACATGCCATGAGTTTGAGTAAACTTTGGGAGTTGGTGACGGACAGGGAAGCCTGCCGTGCTGCAGTCCATGGGGGTCGCAGAGTCGGACTCGACTGAGCGACTGAACTAAACTGTACTGAAAGCCTTACAAACAAGGGGTAGCAACAAGGATCCCTTGAATGTGGATCCTTTGCCAAGTTTCCTCTCGATGCATTTTTATTTAGCTGTTGGCTAAATTTTTCTTCAGTTTCCCTTTGATCCCTCCACTGATGATTCATCATTGAAGGAGGAAACAGAACAGGCTCTATCTTGAAAGCAGGACTCCAACTTGGGCTGGACTGTGAACTTTGAGCTATGTGCCCAGTATCTATGGAAACGACATACCAACTTGAAAACTCGGCCCCCAGAACCCGACACCTAAAAGAATACCCTAATTATCTGTGTAACCGAATAGAATCATACATTCTATTATGCTTATTGGGGTATGACCACAGTCCTATTGATAACTGTATACTGTTCCAACTACCTAGGCTTAAGGCATATGAATCATGGGTTAAATTTGATTGTATCTTTCTTTTCCTTTGTTCAGACTAGTTTCAGGGAATTTGGAGAAGTGGGTTTGGGCACATACACCTAGGGTATATAAGGTTTTCACAAAAACTGGTCGGGGTCCTTGGCTAAGAGGAAACTCTACCTTGGGCCCGCTGCTGTAATAACTGCACTCCACTATCTGCATTGTCCTTCTGAGTGAGTTTGTTTCCCAGAACATGTGGCTACAACATTATTACAAGCACCATGTGCTTGCATGGGTGCCTGCTCAGTTGTTGGACTTTTTGCGACTCCATGGACTGGTCTTCTCAGGTGACACAGTGGTAAAGAATCTGCCTGCAATGCGGGTGTCTTGGGTTTGATCCCTGGGTTGGGAAGATTCCTTGGAGGAGGAAATGGCAACCCACTCCAGTATATATGCCTGGAAAATCCCATGGACAGAGGAGCCTGGATGGCTACAGTCCATGGGGTTGCAAAGAGCTGGAGGTGGCGGAGCACACCTGGGAAGTCCAGCCATGCCCTTGGGATTGACTGTGCCCGGTACCATGAGAGGTGCTTCTCGTGGTAAGTGATGTCTTCTCACTTACTCCCACAACATTGATAAGTGGGTGTTATCTTCATTTTACGTGTGAGCACCCAAGCTCTGAGACATTGACATTTCCAAGAGTCAGAATCCGGATGGGAAAGCACTTATAGAACCCAGAGGAAACAGCAGCCTGTCTCAGCTGAAATGTTAACTTCCTCAAAGACTGCCTGAATCTCCAGGCAGCTGAATTCCCCCAAGACACATTCTCGCAGCATCCTGAACTTCGTAGAACTGAAACCACATCTGTTAGCATTGCTCCCCTATTGGCCTCACCTGCTGGATCATAAACTCCAGAGATGCGGTTTGTCTTGCCCACTGCATTCATGGAAGCTCAAGTCACCCTCACATCAATCAACACTGAGCAAGCAAATTACACTAAAACCTTTAGAATTTTCTGCTTAGATTGTGCCTCCAATAAAGCAATAAGTACAAATGGATTATTCTGAAATTTATATCTAATTTTCACAGATCAGTCTATTCTTAAAAAATTTAGAAGTTTTTTTTTTTTTCATCCATACCATGGGGCTTGCAAGATCTTAGATCCCCAACCATAGATGGAACCCTGGCCCTAGTAGCAAAAGCTCTAAGTCCTAACCACTGGGCCTCCAAATTCTCATTAAAAATTAAAAGTATAGTTAATTGAGGAAGGTTACAGTTTGGAGATTTTACATG